TCGAACCGAGATCGAAATCGGAACCGTGAGAACCGAAACCACAAGAACTAGAACCGAAGCCCACGGTTTGATTCGGTTCTCACGGTTTGATTCGATTCTCACGGTTCCACGGTCTTTTGTGCACCCCTCATATTTGTGTTTCCTATTTTAATAAACTAAACAAATTGCTAACTGAATAAAACGTATGATTAATGATACTTACACCGAAAATATGCGCCGAATTGTTGGACAAAATAATGTGACAGTCCAGCTGGCAGACAACGTGATTTTTTACTAATTTGCTTATTCATGTTTACTGTTTACTATCCCTAATTTTAGAAACATCTATGTCGTCCCCAATTTGTAGTATTTTTTTTTTCCTCCGATTCAACGCGATCTGCAACAACTCTTGCACCCCTAATATTTGTGTTTCCTATTTTAATAAACTAAAGAAATTGCTAATTGAATAAAACGTATGAGTAATGATACTTACACCGAAGACATGCACCGAATTGTTGTACAGAATGATGTGACAGTCCAGCTGGCAGACAACGTGATTTTTTACTAATCTACTTATTCACGTTTATTATTCATAATCCCTAATTTTAGAAACATATCTGCCATCCCCAATTTGTAACATTTTTTTTTCCTCCGATTCAACGCGATCTGTAACAACTCCAAATGTTTTGGCTTTTTGACGATTTGGAACTATTTAATACCTCTGGTAAATCAAATATATATATATCAATCTCCCTGTATATGTGCTGCAAATTTTTTTTTTTTTTTTTTAATAGTTCAACACCAATGTCAATCCATTGAATAGAGATTGATTCAGATGACTTGTGCTGATCAAACAATTCCATTTAAAATTTGTAGCAACATATATATAAACAAGGAGATTGATATATATCTATTTATCCTATAAAAGTGTATTCTATTCGTATTTTTTATATACATTTTTTTTAATTATAATATATACTTTTCAAATAACTACTAACACCTCTTCTAAATTCACCTTTTAACTGCACCAACACTTCTTCTAAAAGTCATATTTTTACTGCAAATACCTGTTTGTTCAATTCTATTAGTATTTTTTATATACAATTTTTTATAATAATAATATATATTTTTCAAATAACTACTAACACCTCTTCTAAAAGTCACCTTTTATTATTTATATACAATTAAATCATTTAATTTATTTTAATAAATAAATGTGACTTTTCAAATAACTACTAACACCTCTTCTAAATATCAGATTTTAACTGCACTAACACCTCTTTTAAAAGCCACCTTTTATACATATATCTAACATTCATATCACCATGTATCTCACTCCTCTCTATTTCTTTCCATCTCTCTTTGAAAATAATTTCTTTACAAAAAGTTTGTTAAAGGTTTCTTCTTCCACAAACAATTTCAACGGCTTTGAGAGGAGACTCGTCTTTTGGTTCATGTATATCAAATTACAACTCAAAACCCTTTCAAATTTTTTTTTTAAGGTATGTTTTAATTTGAATTGAAGAACAATTTATATATTTTATATTTATATCTATATCTAATCATATATATATTTGTATAGTTTCATACATAATTAGTATATGAGGAGTTATTATATTTTATATGTTCTCCTAATAGTTCAGTTCTATTATTTTATTACGATGTGAAAGAAATATGCATGAATATTAAATTTGTTCTGTTCAAAAAAAATTACATGGATAAAATATATGAAATATTGTATTTTATATGCAATATACGTGTACAAGTATATATAAATAATTGACGCGTATAATCATTGATTGAAATGTCAGTTAGTTATTATAGAATTCTTTCACGAATGAATCATTATATATACGTACAATACATAATTAGTACATGAGGGCTAAATGATAGACTTAATAATAGGGCTAAATGAATAACTTTGGGATTAAGAGTCTTAATTAATAATATATACATTATTATTATTTTTTAAAGAGTTAAGTGCATTGAACCTCCCTCAACTTTCTTTTCTTTCCTAATAAACATCCTAAACTGAGTGAAAGACACTTAACCCCTTAAACTATTTCAATTCTTGCAAATCATTAGCAGACCGTTTGAAATCTAACGGCCAAAGAAGCACATGACTTATTAGACTAATAAATCAATTGTCTATTTAAAAACTAACACATCTTCAAAATCACGTATTCTTATTTTAAAAAACAAAAACAAAAACAAAAACAAACGACTCTTGATTTAAAAAATATGCAATTTTTTGGTCAAATTAAATAAACTAATTCTTGTTTGGAATGAGATAAACCAAAAAAGAAAAAAAAAAAAAAGAATAATAATAATAATAACTTCAAAGTTTTAGTTTTAAAGTAATTTATTATTGATTGTTTACGTAACTTATAAAATAAAAACTAAACTATTTAATGAGTTACAATCTTAACAACGAATACACCTTTTAAAAGTCGTCTCCTTAAAAAAATGAACACGTGCAATGCACGTAAAGAAAAATTTATATTGGATAAATAATTGGTATTTTATATATTATTTTATCTCAAAATAAAATAAAATTGACTTTAATTTTAAACCTTCCAAACCAAAAAATTAATTTAGATTTACGGAATAGATGTTAATTCAAATTAAAATATTAATATGATTTATATGAGGGTCTTAATCATCTTTCTGTTTAATTATTAAAATATTAGAAGTGTTTTGCATCAAGGAGATTACTTTTAAAATGTGTGTTTGTTGTTAAGATTGTAACTCATTAAATAGTTTTGTTTTTCTTTTATAAGTTACGTAAACAATCGATTATAAATAACTTAAAAAATAAAAATTTGAAGTGATAAAGAGAATCATTATATGATTATTGATACAAGAATATTAGGATTTCAATAAAGTTTTGCACAAAAGAACTTTGAAGATGATGAAAAGTGTCGAAATGATTGACTTAGTGATTTTTAATCTTTATTTATCTTTGAGATTAATAGTCAATTATTTAGCACTTTTATCTGCAAGTTATCGTCAATTATTTTTAATTTCATTTTAGATTTTTCTTTCTCTATTTGATTTCCAAATTATTTTTATTTTTCACTTGTGCTATTTTACTATCTCAAAATATGATTAAGTTATACTCACGTGCATTGCACGTGGTTCTATATATATATATATATATACATATATATATATATTTGATTTACCAGAAGTATTCTACAAATCATCAAAAGCTACAAATCGTCAAACGCTTATTGTAGGTAGTCAAAACATTTAGAGTTGTTGCAGATCGCATCGAATCAGAAGAGAAACTTCGTTTGAGAAATTAGGGACGTCAGAGACGTTTCTAAAATTAAGGATAGTAATAGTAAAAAATCATGTTGTCTGCCAGGTAAACTGCCACATCATTCTGTCCAACAATTCGGTGGATGGCTTTGGTGTAAGTATTATTACTCAAAATGTTAAGAACGAACAATTACAATATGTTTTTCTTTCTATCTCTAATTTATTTTTCTCTACAAATATTATATATATATATATATATATATATATATATATATATATATATATTCTCTTCTTCATTCTTTGTATTTTTCAATTACTCTAAATTTGTTGGATATCTTTCTCAAATTTAACTTTAATCAGAATATACTAAATTAAAATGCAATTATAAAAGCTTTAAGTGAATATTGTAATTTTTAGGGTTCACTATACACAGGGGCCTTGTGACCCAATAGCATCTCCTCTATTTCATAAAGTGAATGGTGAGGGTTCGAATCTCCAAAAAAGTAAAGTAGGTGTGTGAGTGGTGTGTGTGCGAGTTTCTTGACAATGACAAAAAATATAAAAAAAAAGAAAAAAAAAAGAACAATTAAAAAAAAAAGGTTCGGGAAAAAAATTGTAACTTTTAGTTTTAATTATTTGACGATTCAATAGAAGGTTCATTCATGAAAAAAAATTGTAACTTTTAGATTTAATTATTTAAAATTTTTAATAGAAAGGTCTTTCAAACGTAAGTTTTGCTCTTTTTTCTCTCTTTTCTATATTAAGATATATTTCATACTAAAAAATTTACGTTAAAAACACACAGAGCAGCCAAATAAGCTGACAAATAAGTAACCATCTAATTCACGACAAAATCACAAATAAAAATTTGTGAATTATATAACATTTTCCTTTTATAGTTATAAAAACTTTTATGACCTTTTTATGGATATATAAGGTCATAAAAATTAAATTTTTACTTCGTACTAGTTCTACTTTCTCTATTATTTGGCACTTCTTTATGCATATACAAGTTTCCATGACATTTTTATGCTAAAAAAACAAGTAAAGCAAAGTTTGTAGGTGGCAAATCCAACTTGCACCCCTACAATTTTTCTGCAATTTGGACATATAACAATTTTTTTAAAAAAATACTGCTATTGTTTCTTTTCTTTGCCCTCCTTTGTACCAAATATAATCTTAGGTCCTTTCGATAATATTAAAAATTTTAAGAGCTAAATTTGAAGTGCTAAAGCATTTTAAGTGATAATTAAAAATAATTTTTTAATATCTGTGTAAATATTTAGCATTCAACATAATAAGTGATATTCAAATTATATTATCAAACATATTTAATTGGATAAACACTTAATTCGTTCGGAATTAAATACTGAATTTTGAATTATCAAATAATAAGTTACACACAGAGTAATTATTATTATTAACTATCAATAAGTTACAAATTGCAGTATCAAACATACTAAATTCGACCAGAATTAAGTACTGAATTTTAAATGATCAAACATTAAAGTTACTATTATTAACTTTTTTTTTTTCCTTTTCATATTTTCGAGGAAACAAGCAGATGTAGGAACACAAAGTATTTTCCAGTGCAAATCTTAAGAAAATAAAATATAAAAAAAATGAAAATGAAATTAAACTTAAAGCCAAAAATCCACCCCCAAAGAGAGAAATATTCAAATACAAAATAAATACTCCAAACACCCCCTTATACACCTCCGCAATAAATGTTTAAATATCGTCAAATTTACAAATCTGTAATCAAGATTTTGAAAACGAGTCGAAAACCACACCACTCTCAACCCGACAGATCTCCGCTCTTTTTGACCTTTTCACAACACAGGAATACTCTTGTCCTCGAGTTATACATACATATACATGTATATGTATGTATAGTTTATATACACATAAAACGGATAGAGTAAAAGAGGGTTAAAGTAAGCCAAAAATTCAAATTCATCTCTCGATTGGTGTTCGAGCAATTAGTCGAGATCGGAGGCTGAAAAGCCCTAATTTTTTGGGGGTCCTGAGATTTAGGGTTTCTAGAGCGTGTTTGGAGCTCACGATCGTGTTTCTCAGAGATGGTTGGCTTTGGTGTTACGTCTCCTTCTTAACCGATGCTGATATATGTATGAGTATACACAATATATGTGTATATATTGGGGTTTAACTTCGTAGTAGTATTAGTGGGTTGTGAGATGGACGGAAGGAGAATAAGCGCAGCCAGTCCTCGACCCTGCTGTGGCCGCCGGGTTCTGGCAAAGAAACGTCCTCGCGGCGGCGTTGATGGGTTTGTCAATAGCGTCAAGAAACTCCAGAGAAGGGAGATATGTTCAAAGCGTGACCGTGCTTTCAGTATGAGCGACGCTCAAGAAAGGTTCAGGAACATTAGATTGCAGGTTCGTTAGTTTGATTTTTGGTTCTGATTTTAGTTTCGTTGCCTTTACAGTGTCATTTATTCGAATTGTTACAATAAATTTAACAAAAGAGGAAAAGAAAAAATAAAAAAAGGAATCAGATTGATAGTATGCTGTAGATATATTTGAAAAGTTAGGGTTTCAGTGATTTATTTATCTTTGCAGGGTCTTCTTTGAGAAACCCAATTGCACGTTTGCGTGTCTCTTAACTTTTATCAATTAGTTTGATATTGATAAAACGATGTGTATCTATGAACAGGATGACTCTTGCCCCGAATTGATTAGTGACTAATACTTGTTACAACATTGACAAAACAAATTTGAATTTACTAGATTGGGAATACTGTTGGAGCTTTATTGCCTTAGAGGCACACCTTGGACGGTTTCCTGCAACAACATTGTTAAACAAGTATAAGAATGTAAAATTGTAAATAGGTAATGTATCTACTTTGTTTATATGTAAGTTGAAGGATTTGAAGGAATGTCTAAGGTGTTGCTTTTGGGAGTTTTGTTGAAATTGTTTTCAAATCATGCAGAGTTCTCTCAACTCCACATTTGAAATGGTTAATTTGTCATACTGTGCATCTATGTTTGTTCAACTTTGAGTTCTAGGTTGATATATGGGAATGGTTCATTTGTCATCCTGCGTGTCTAAGTTTGTTCCATTTTGAGTACTAGATCAATAGAATCACAATTTTGAAAGAACGTTATTCATTATTTTGTTCTTCTTTGTTACGAGGATTAATAATTACATATAATTGTTGGAGGAAAGGAGTGGAAGTGATTAAGTTTTTAGATAGGTTGTAAAAGGGTTGGTCTTTCATATATTTTCCTATTCATTTTTCATCCTCTAACAAGATTTGATGCTGCAATTTTTAGTCTCCAATTTATTGGGAGGGCAGGGCAGGGTGATGCATTGCGCCCAACCCGGATTTAAGTAGTATGCTAAGAAGCACAAACACTTGGGGCTAGTTTGGTATGGAGGAATGAAATAAGGTGGAAATGGAATGAAGCAGAGAATGGAATGGAATGAATCGAATGATCATTCCCATTCCCATTCCCTTGTTTGGGAAATTATAGAGCTCTATGTTGAAGAAGAAAAAATAATAATAATAAAAATACCAACAACGAGACCCAAAGTACAGAGGTCATTCCAACTGCAAAACTGAACAAGAAGCTTGCAGCCGACGAACATGTCTGTCATCGCCGTCCTGAGCTCCCTCGTTGCCGGAGTTCCTAGCCCACACCTCACCGTGCCGGTTCATTGCTCGCTGGCCGAAAGTCACTGTGTCCACTGCTGCCGTATCATGAACGTCATACCCTTGCTCTCTTCTGTCAACTTTCGCCGTCATCATCACCAAGCTTCCTCGCCATCCTCCAAGCTCGTCATCATCGTTTCATAGCCGTTGTTGCTTCACCACCATCCTTCATTTTTTGCTTGTTGGGAAAGCTAGACCCATTTCACCGCCGACCTCCTTGCTAAATCCGAGCACATCGCCTTTTGTCCATCATTGATGACAAAGTTGAAGAGTAGAGCTTCCAAATAGTGGTTCGTCGCCGATCGCCGTCAATGACTGATTTGGGACAATGCTTGGTCATCGATCAACTTCAATGGCTGATTTCGGACAGTTCTTGGTTGCCTTCAATGGTTGCTGATGGTTGTTGATTGCCTTCAATGGTTGACTTTTGGAGGCAATATTGATGGAGTTTGAGTTGGGAGAGAGAAAAGTGGAGACTTTTTAAATATTTTTTTTACTTTGTATTTTGTAAGTGGGAATGAAATTGTCATTTCTTTTGTTGGAAAGTGAAATGATTTTGATAGAATGGCCATTTTCGGGGAATGGTGAGGAATGATGATTCCAACTTTAAAGTTAGTCGCCAAATGAATGAAAAAAAAAAAAAGAAGCATTCCATTCCCTTTTATTTAAAGTTAATCACCAAACGAGAGAATGTTTGGTGTGGGTGAATGGAACCTAATAAAGGGAATAATGGGGTGTTTTTTTTATTTTTTATTTTTTATTTTTTATTCTCGCGTTTGGTGACTAATTTTAAAGTTGGAATCATCATTCCTTGCCATTCCCTGAGAATGGTTATTCCATCAAAATTATTCCACTTTCCAACAAAATGAATGACAATTCTATTCCCACTTACAAAATACAAAGTAAAAAAAAAAAAATAAATAAAAATGTCTCCACTTTTCTCTCTCCCAACGCAAACACTATCAATATTGCCTTCGGAAGACAGCCATTGAAGACGATCAACAACCATTGAAGGCAACCAAGAACTGTTCGAAATCAGCCATTGAAGTTGATCGACGACCAAGTACTGTCCCAAACCAGTCATTGAAGGCAATCTGCACCCAAGCGCTTTCCGAAATCAGTCATTGACAGCAATAGGCGACGAAACACTATTTAGAAGCTCTTTTCTTCGACTTTGTTGTCGATGATGGACTCACGGTGATGTGCTCTGATTGAGCAAGAAGGTCGGCGATGAAATGGGTCTGGCTTTCTCGACGAGCAAAAATGAAGGATGGCGGTGAAGCAGCTTTGAAACTGTGATGACGAACTTGGAAGACGTTGAGGAAGCTTGGTGATGATTATGATGATGGTTGACGACAGAGGTGTGACGGTGATGAAGCGGCGGCGGTGGACACAATGACTTTTGGTCAGCGAGCAATGAACTGGCACGGTGAGCTAGGAACTTCGGCGGCGAGGGAGCTCGGGACTGCGATGACATATATGACCAAATTTTTATTTTCCCAAAGATTAAAGATGGAATGGTCATTCCATTGGAAGGCCCATTTCAACAAAAAGCTGGAATAACCATTCCTCTTCTTGACCTATGGAATGCCCATTCTATTCTTACCTAAAAATAAAACAAAATAACTTAGAACAAAAACCCTTTGACCTAAACTGTTTCTCACACATCAAGCAAAGAAATCTTCCACATCCTCCCTCCCCCGACTTCTCGTCTCCAAGCAATGGCTCCGCATCTGCTGTCCCTTGAAAACTTCCATCTGACTCCTTTTCTCTCCTCACAATTTCATACTGGTCGACCAAATACATAGGAATTTGAAGCTCTTTGTGTCTTAGCCATTTGATTGATTGAATGAACGAACTAACGAAACTAGTATTTTAATCTCTTTGGAACACAATACATAATATGTATATATGTTTTCAAATGGTGTTTGGTTCTGCCTTTGGCTTTTTTGGGAAAACAAAGTTAATGATTTTGATTTGGATAAAATTATTGGATATGTTGGCTCAACTTAAAAGGTAAAAAGATCAAACCTGGAGAAACGGACATTACCCAGTGGCCTAGTTGGTAGAGCGCCCAACTCCCCGAGCGGGTGTGTCTGTGTTCGAGTCCCCCCTCCCCTTATGTTTGGCAGGGAAAAAAAAAAGAAAAGCTGGAGAAACAGATAATCACAAACTTTTGTTACTTATCTCTATTTTCTCTCTTCACTCAAAGAATGATAATGAAATACTTATTGGTTTTCTTTTTCTTACATTGTGATCGAAAAAAATTAAACTTTGCGTTGCCATTAGAGTCTCTTCCCTATCCGGGACTTGAGCTGGTGACAAATTATGGAATTGTGAAGCTATTGTTAAACTTAAAGATGAATCATCACAGATATTGGAGGATTCATAACACAAATTGAACTACTGAGCAATTCATAACACAAAATGGAGGATTCCTGTTTTGGGTTCTGATAAGATGTGATCTGATAAGTGAACTAGGTAAATGTGTTAACTACAACAAGCATTTCTCATATTTTGTTTTTCCATTTTTCTTTTTGGGTTGGTTTTCTGTAAAGTAACGTGTCACTGAGAGGGGTATTTTGGAGAAAATTCATTCCATTCTAAGTTTTAAGATGGTCTTATCAAACAATGGAATGGTAATAATCATTCTATTCCTGGATCATTTCATGTTTGAAACCACATAGTAGAGTGATAACGACCATTCCATTCCTTTTCCATTCTCATTCTTTTTCCACTTGCATTCCATTCTCATTTCATTTCATTTCCGCATACCAAACATAGCCTTACATGAATGTGTCGTGTTCATATGTCAAACACTGAAACTGCATGGACACACTTAGACACCTGTCTGAAACCTCAAATACGTGTTTGTTATTTCAAGACAAATTCATGGTGTTGGATACTTGGGGATACAACTTAAAACACTCCTAACAAATGACTTGTGTAGCACAAAGACATCTTAAAAGGAGTCGTGTCCAATAATTTTTGAAACAAGATAAATACAACCTGAAGTGTCCAACCCTTGTTTTTGAAGAAAAATTGACATTGTACATATGGACACTACAACCTAAGCATGCACTGAACACTTCTTATTGTAGGACAAGAATGTATTATTAATGGGGAAAATTATAGTAGCTGTGCTATAATCTATATATAATATGATTATATACAGCAAAACTTTATCTTTGTCTAGTTTTGTGTCCATCTTTTGTTCGTATGCTGCCCTTTTAGAAGTTTCAATGTTGCATTGTGTTTGTGTCTGACTTGGGTTTTATGAGCCTAATTTAAATCACAATCAAATCATGACTTCATACATGTTAAGAAATTTTTATGTATTGTTTTTTTTTTTTTTTTTTTCTAGCCTGGTTTTGTCATTTGTTGTAAAAGATATTGTACTTAAGCATTGTTATAATCATATTTCCTGTAGTATTATTTGGTAGGGTGGCATTTTTTTTTATTTTGTTTTAAAAAGATTCTTGGTGTATTAATTCTGAAAATTTAAATTTCTGCTCGACTTTGTTGCTTGAATATTGGCATCAGGAGGAATACGATACCCATGATCCAAAAGGACATTGTGCCATGGTACTGCCATTTCTCAAAAAGAGGTCAAAAATTATTGAGATAGTTGCTGCCCATGACATTGTCTTTGCTCTAGCGCAGTCTGGTGTTTGTGCAGCATTTAGCCGAGGTATAGGCGTAGTAAATGCCTTTTATATGCATTCATGTCTTGGATCTACTGTCATATTTAGATCACATCTTCCAAAGATGAAGAAGAGTCCTCATAAACATGTATATTGTTGTATGCAGAGACTAATGAGAGGATATGCTTTCTGAATGTCAGTCCCGATGAAGTTATACGAAGCTTGTTTTACAACAAAAACAATGATTCACTTATCACTGTTTCTGTTTATGCTTCCGATAATTTCAGTTCTTTGAAATGCAGAACAACAAGAATTGAGTACGTGAATTGTATCTTGTTCCTATTTTCTCCTATCACTATTTCTGTTTTGCTCCTATTTTCTAAACTTTATTTTGTTCACACAATCACGTGTTACTCTTACTGAAATGTCATATAATTAAATGGTCTCAGGTATATACGGAGGGGCAAACCAGATGGAGGTTTTGCTCTTTTCGAGTCTGAGTCATTGAAATGGCCTGGATTTGTAGAGTTTGATGATGTAAATGGGAAGGTACTCACTTATTCAGCACAAGACAGGTAATTATTTGATTATATTGGTATTTTTATTTGCTAATTTACACTATCTTCTTCACAAGTTGCTTTATGGTTCTGAGATGCATATTTTTTGTTTTTTTTAACAGCATATACAAGGTGTTTGACTTGAAAAACTATACGATGTTGTACTCAATATCAGATAAAAATGTTCAAGAGATTAAAATCAGGTAATATTTCCTTATATATGCATGCACAGATTTCTTGATGAATATACACGTATGTGTTTGAGCTTATACATACCTAAAACAGTGCATGTTTGTATGCATTCATATGTAGTTTAACATATATTATGCTGTTGCAATTGTGAAGATCATGAGATTGATTTGACTTTTATAATTTCATTCCCCTGAACCGAAATTATTACTCTGTCAGGACAAAATTTTGCAGCTTTTGTAATTCCTTGAATGCTTATGTACATGACTAAAACGGTTTGCATCCATTTGAAAATAAATGGAAGTAGCAATTATCTTGGATTTCTTTTCTTTTCATTATTTTTTTAAAATGAAGGCATGCTTTGTAACTTCTTATAAGGTCTGCAATGTGACACTGGGTGCTCACTGCCCCCACAGTTTTTATTTTTTATATATTTTTTATTCAATAAACGTAAACAATAGGAATTTTAGTCTATATCACGCGGACTCTTCAAAAGTAGGTAAAGTACCCCCACACTATACTAGCATGAGTATGGGATATGTGTGCGTCACATTTTTTATTGGACATGCACTTAAAAAAACCCAATTATTCAATTTTATTATGTTATTGCTTCAAAACAAGTGAAATGCCTATGTTGAACAATATTCTACATTTCTATGTAAAGATATTATTTCACTCTAAAAATAAAATAAGAATATTAAAGAATATGAATATTTAGTAGTGTTCCTGTCTCCTTTTGTTTGGAAAGTTGACAGTTGACACGTCTGACACTTGGATGCATGTCCGCGTCTGATACATGTACCCGAGTCAATGTAACTTAGATTTTAGTGCATTTTTGGTATGGAAATATAGATTATCTTTTTATTTTCTATGAGGTGGGTTCTTTGGGAAAGGAGGGACACGTGTGTGGATTATTTCTGAGGTATGGGCTTTTTGTGTTGTTCGTAAAGGGTATGTTTCCCATTTCAACAAATATGATAAGAAATGTAATCAATATTCTTTACCCTAACACTTAAGTAAATTTTAATGTCTTTTTCTAGGTGGATTTTCAACTTTTCATGGACCTTCAGAATTGGCCTTTTCTAGATCCTCAATTGGATTGTGTTGACTTTTTTCACTGAATTCCCCAATTTGACTGTGTTGATCTTTTCATTCTATCCCTCTTTATGATTTGCTAAATTTGTATCTGTTGTCTTGCCAAATACTGGTAGGCTATTACTTGTCATGCTATTGGATGCATGGCTTATACAGTTAAATGTCTGTATAGTATACCGTAGAGAAATGGATATTGCTGCGTAGACAAACTCATGAATTTGATGTTGGAAGTGGACAGGCAGTTAAAAATTGAAAATAAAGCTCATAGTCACGCTTTAAGTTCAGGAAAAGAGTATTAAGTTGCTCTTGCTCGCTCCCTTGTTGATGCTATCACCATGGCTATGACCATTAAGTTTAAGTTATGCCATTATGTAGTGGTCGGTGGTTTGAATAGTAGGTATAGCAGCTTAGCTGGAGGTAGTTTCATGTAGTTGCATCCTTTGAGAGAAGAAATTCCCCTCTTTTGCTGTAAATCCACTTCATTTTTCAGAGCCTAGTGCTGGAGGTGATGATTGCTGTGGAAGGTCGTTTTACGTGCATTGCAGCTGTTAGCATTACAAACTCTTGTCTGCACGTGAATTTGCAATGCTCTTTCTATTAGCCAATTTGATCTCCTCATTTCATTTCATGCTTGATTTTAGATTCTTTTATTGTGTTTCCATTTCTCTTTTTTGCTCTTGCAAGATGGAAATTTTGATTGTTAAATTATCAAATATAAAGTTTATATTTTTATAATACACAGTAATTTGATTATAAATGCAGTTATTTATGATGATGATATGCATTTTATTATGTATTACACATAGGTTGAATGACTGGTTGATATCCTAAGCCATTTTGTAGAAGGGATTAAAAATGTATTATTTGTGGTTCTTTATATTTTACTTTTAGCTTGAACAATTATTGAGAGCCTAGGCAACTAGCACCATTGCTATATAAAATATTGTTAGACATCCTTCTTTAACTATCCAAGATCTATTATGGTATCTCAAAAGATTGTTGTCGGCATTTGGGTTGAGGCCTTGGTTACACACTTTGGATAGGATAAGTGTTTTCAACTTGAACTCAGTGGATTTCAAAACAGTGTGGTTATTGAATCCCATGTTTGAAACTGAAAAGCAAGCAGTTTGTCTCAAGGTTGTTATAATCGGGATTCTACGTAGAAACGTTTTGGGTTCCATAGAATTGGAATTGTAGAATCGGATTGTAAATCGTAAGATTCTACCAACTTGTTAAAAAAATTCAAAATAATTTCTAAACTAATATTGGAGTAAAATATATCAAGAATAAGGCTAAAACACTTCTAGTTATTCAACCAATAATTCTAGTTATGCAATTGCAAAACAGAACATAAAATAACACAAAACAGAAATCCTCAAATTGTGTGGCTGCCAATTAATTTTGATCAAGTGGTTAACAGAACAGCAAAATTTGTTTATAATTTTCATGCATTGGGAGCATGACATTGGCAAGACAATTTGACAATAATGTGCAAAAATTGTTTCACCAGTATTTGTAACAATGGTGTGAACAAATTAATCCAAAAATAATTCAATAATAAAGCGCAAAATTTTCAGTCAAATTATTTACGAAGTTCAAGGACTTCAACTTTAACAAATCAAAAGTATATGTGTACTTAACTGTAATCACAAATCTTTAATACAATCGTGTTGTCATTCTTTTTCTTCATGTCTCCTTATCAGACATTATGCAATTACCGGGAAAAAAAAGTTGCATCAAAGCAAATAGGCACCTCATATCTCTCACATTCAGTTTGCACAGAAGTTAGAATAAAAGCAGAAAACACACCAACCAACACCCCCCCCCCCCCCCCCCCCCCCCCCCCCCCACAACACACACACCCCTTGAGTTTGTAACTTTGTTGCTCGTCAAAGGGAAGAGGCTGCTCGTCAGAGAGAAGAGGCTGTCTAATTTTGCACGATTTAGGGCTTCTTTGTGCATTTTTTTTTTTTTACTGTATTCTTTATGTTTGGGCCTAAAAATGGTTGGGATTTCTTATTAAAAAGAGCCGAACCTTTGAATAAAGCTCAACCAAGGTGTACCAGCCCAAAAGAAGGCCAGGAAAGGGGTTAGAACAGAATCGGTAGCATTGTAAGATTCTATGATTCCATGAATGATTCCATCGATTCTACAGCGATTTTGCTCCAGGAAAGATTTTTGTGCGATTCCAATCATTTCGGGTACCTAGGATCGTTGAATCATGCGAATTCTACGACCTAGAATTGTGAATTTGATAATCAAGGTTTGCCTTATACAGGACCTTTGCATGAGAGAACTTGTTAATTCCAGTGTTTATTGGACAACATTCCTTGAGATGCAGTTGACAGTATGCCGTTGGTCTGGGTATGAATACTGGAATAGCAAAATAAAATCACGAGATATTTGTTTCTCTGATGATGGTGGTTGCATAAATAACAAAATAAAATCACGAGATATTTGTTTCTCTCTGATCTTGTACTTTACCCTACGAGATATTTGTTTCTCGGTTACTTTTAGATTTACAAATTGTACTGCCAGTTTGTGTTGGTCGTACAAGTTCTTAAATATTTATCTTATTCTTGTCACTTATCATTATTACTTTTTTTTTTTTTTTTTTTAAATATAACAGTCCAGGCATCATGTTATTGATTTTCACCAAAGCTAGTGGCCATGTTCCTCTTAAGATTCTTTCAATAGAGGATGGCACTGTTCTCAAAACATTCAATCATCTCCTGCATCGGAATAAGAAGGTGGATTTCATTGAACAGTTCAATGAAAAACTTCTTGTCAAACAAGAAGATGAAAATCTCCAGATTCTTGATGTAAGAATCCTTGTTGTACTCTTGTAATATATATGTGTGTGCGCGTAAGTTGCATATAGAATCTGACAGTTATCTTTTGTAGGTTCGCAATTATGAGCTAACAGAAGTTAGCCGAGCTGAATTTATGACTCCCTCAGCGTTTATATTTCTGTATGAGAACCAGTTATTCCTGACATTTAGGAACCGGACAGTGGCTGTTTGGAACTTCCGCGGGGAGCTTGTAACTTCATTTGAGGATCACCTTTTGTGGCATCCTGACTGCAACACAAACAACATATATATCACAAGTGATCAGGATCTTATCATTTCTTATTGCAAAGCTGATTCTGATGATCCGTTGGCGGAAGGAAATGGTAAGTTACCTGGGAAAATCTGAATATGTTCAATTTGTTTTGTAATACAGCTATATATTATATCATATATCATAATGTACCAGGTTAGTTGGACTGTTAGTACCAAAGAAATTTAATACTCAGCTGCCGAGGGTTTCAAAGGTCAACGTACCATTCCAGTCTTCAAAACTATGTATAGCTATATATATATAATATACATGTAAAATACGTCAAAATGAAATTGATGTTTGGTTTCAAGTCTCTCTCTTCCCCGAAGATGGAGGGATAAGATTTATCACCGAAAAAGCTAAACAAAATTTGGATAGTTGGGGTGCATCTCGCTGTTTACCTATATTCTTATAATTCTACTAGTGTCCATTTTCTTGATAGGTTGTACAATTGAGCTTACATTTTGCAAGTTTGTGGTTTCATTATAAATCTTCCAAGTGCAGAGGTTTATTATTATTAACGGTATTTGAATTGCTCATGCAGCTGGATCCATCAATATCAGCAATATCTTGACTGGAAAATGCCTTGCTAAAATAAGAGCAAGTAACAGCTTTCCGTTGCACAAATGCGGTTTCAGTGGCAGTTGTAGCGGCAGAAAGTGCAGTTCGAAGAAGCAAATCCAGTCATCCAGGATTAAGAGTACTGTTGCAGAAGCCCTGGAAGATATCACTGCTCTTTTCTATGACGAAGAACGCAATGAGATCTATACCGGTAATAGGCATGGCTTGGTCCATGTATGGTCTAACTGAAGCTTGTATTCTATCTCCTCATTCCCCTTCAATTGATGATTGTTCTTCCAGATGGTTAAATTCACTCTGCAACCCCCACTCGAGAACTCCCTCGAATTGTACCATTATATTAAATGCTCTTTATTTTAGGCTCATTTGTTCTCTAGTTCTTTTGTTTTCATCATTTTGTGTTGCTATTTTTTTTTTTGTCCCCCTTCTTTTGGGGTGTTATCCTTCTGTCTCCCCCTGCCTTCAAACAATAAGTATTTTTTATTTTTCTTGCTTTCGTGTTTTTGGGGTTGAGACGTGGGATTTTAATATGATCTTTTACTGTTGTAGATGTGCTTTTGTAAGTTCAGGCTGTGTCTATGTATGCTGCAAACAGATATTTTAATTAGCAAGCAGGCTTTCAGGTATTTTACATGTAAATATTGACGTGCTCTAAATGTCCCCTTGATTAGATGGTACTTTTGCAGATGCGAGGGAAAAAAAAATTATTACTGTGTTAATATTGCAGTAGTTAGTCATAATAGAGTAAAAGGTTAAAGGCACCTGGTGACCATTAATAAAAAAATTTAAGTCCCTCTTTTCCATTTTTTGTTTTCTTTGAAGGTACTTTTACCTTATCTAACTGTTAGGCTTTGTTTTGGATTGATGGAATTGAAAGGAAAAGAATAAAAAGGAGAGGGATAGTGATTCTTATTTTTCGGTTTTTTATTCTACCAAAAGTGGTAAAATTTCGAGAGAAAGGACAGCAACTTAAGTGACACTTTCATAATACCTAAAGTAATCACCTTGACATTTCAGTAAAGGAATTTTAGAAGGAATTAATTTCCCAAAAAAAAAAAAATTTGGAAGAAATTAGTTTCCAATCTTAACATTAGGGTATGACAGTAACTTGGTTAAATTAATTTTTTTAAAAAAAAAAAAAAAAAAAAATCAAACAAGAACTTTCTTGTCTTTTCCTTTATAATTTATCCAAATATAAATACATATTTTTTGTTTTTTTTTTCATAGTTGATATTATTCTTTCTTTCTTCTCTCTTATGTTTTGAAGCTTTAAAGATAAACAAATTTTTTTTTAAAGAGTTGTCAAAAAAATTACTGATTTGTTAAAAATTATAACTTCAAACATAATGATTTGAAAAGGTAAATGGGTTGGAATTTAAGGGCATGGTTTAGCTCCATCCAATAATCCCATCAGGGGTTAAAATGTCGACTTCAATTAACCCACGTTTGTACTTTGAATTAATATTTTTTCTCAAACATGAACATGAATCTAGAAGGAGGAGAAACAGCAAGGGGGAAAGTGTGATATGAAAAAAATGACCGACTCAATATATTGAAAGAGTCAGTGGTGTGTGGATGATATGCGTAGTAGTTCGAGAATTACTCCACCATGAAATTAAAAAATACGAACTAGTAGTACTCACTCAAAGACAAGTCTTCCTAATCTCTATCTATAAATACCCACCTCTGCCATGCTACATTTCTCACCTCTCTCTCACCCAATTACCAATCCTACAAACAATATATATATATATATATATATATATATATATATATATATATATTATTCACTCCAAATTAAGATGGCCGCCATTCACTTCCTTGTAGCCATCTTGGCGCTTCAATTCTCACTTTCATATGCATTTGACCCAAGCCCTCTCCAGGACTTCTGTGTTGCTATTGATGATATGAAGTCTGCTGGTATGTATGGATATATATATATATATATATATATATGCATCCCCTAGTCTTATTTTTTGCTTTCTCATACATGCTTTAATTTTGTTGGTAAAATAGCTAGCATATAGTCCATATGTTTCATTGCATGTTGGAGCTCAATTAATGTTAACGGCTGCTATTGTTTTGGGTGCAGTGTTTGTGAATGGGAAATTCTGCAAGGACCCAAAGCTTGCCAAAGCCGAAGATTTCTTCTTACCAGGGCTTAATATTCCTGGAAACACAAACAATCCATTTGGGTCAAATGTGACAGCCGTGACTGTTGATATGCTACCAGGACTCAACACTCTTGGTGTATCCTTAGCGCGCATTGACTTTGCACCCAAGGGCGTGGTCGCACCCCACACGCACCCACGCGCAACTGAAGTACTGGTTGTGGTTGAGGGCACTCTGTATGTAGGGTTTGTGACCTCCAATATTAATGGTGAAAAAAATCGTCTCTTCACCAAGGTCCTGAATCCTGGAGATGTTTTTGTGTTCCCAATTGGTCTCATTCACTTCCAATTCAACGTGGGAAAGACTAATGCAGTATCTTTTTCCGGCCTGAGCAGCCAAAACCCGGGAGTTATCACCATTGCTAACGCCGTGTTTGGATCGAACCCACCCATTTCTGTTGATGTTCTCACCAAGGCTTTCCAAGTGGACAAGAAGGTTATTGACTATCTTCAATCCCAGTTCTGATTTCACAACAATTACACCAAAATAATGGTTGGTTTGTAAAATAAGCAGATATCATATTGTGCACTAAAATGAGTGGGTTGGTTATGTACTTTTGGTTTTCACATAATAATACAATGGTTTTCACATAATATAATTGCCTGAGTTTTAACACTCGCATTCAGCATATTCCTTGACCATATTGACCTGAACAATTTATAGATAATTTATTAACTATAACTAGGCTCATAATTGAATTGAAGATACATATATATACGCCAAAGACTATCACTTGTTTTGTTTTTTTTTTTTTCGGAAAATAAAGATTACCTCTTAATTGGATCGGAAGTACACAACTAATTGACTCTATTAAAAGAAACTCATGTCATGTATTTATACTGAGATGCATGCTTATCTCCATAAATATTTCAACTTTGCAATATTGGCTTCAAGAAGCTACCGCTCATTATTTTGACCTTTTGAAATCCATCCTATAAAACATGATTGATAGATCATATATTACTAAAGACTAAAGTAACACCTTCTCTATGATTTAATAATAATTACTTGATATAAGAGAGAAAAGTCATGGACTTGGTCCTTTTACTGATACCAGAAGATGCAACATCTCCATCAACACTACAATGGGTTTGGTCATTAGTATTTTTAGTTTGTCGACCATTGCTCCGGAGAGAGAGAAAAATAAAGAAAACATATTGTGATAGTGTACAAGAAATTCAAAAGTTGGGACTCTGATCTTTTTTTTATTTATTAGTATACTCACTTTTTAATTTCTTTTCTAAGGCTCTAAAAAATCAATCTAAATATAACTGCTAAAATTTATATTATGAATTTTTTCAATCAACTGAACAAGGTCCATTAAATTAGTAAGATATTATGATTTTTTAAAAATAAATAAAACTGTATGATTACAATGGTCTTGCCCTCACATAGCAGATTGTAGAGAATATAAGCCCTAACTGTGACAAATTAAAACCCTAACTCAAGGGGTGGAACCGTGGAAATAGACAAACTTGGTGAGGATCAAACGTGATTTCTTCTTCTTCTTTGGATGGGGCTTTCACGAATTAGAATTACAGTCCCCCTTCTTTTAATTTTTAAATCATAAAGTTTATATATGGCTCCCAAATTATTACTATTAAAGATAAAAATTTATTGACTAGGTGGTACTTTCGCAGACGCGAGGGACAAAAAAAAAAAAAAAAAAAAAAAAAATTAGAATTACAGTCCCCCTTCTTTTAATTTTTAAATCATAAAGTTTATATATGGCTCCCAAATTATTAATATTAAAGATAAAAATTTATTGACTAGGTGGTACTTTTGCAGACGCGAGGGACAAAAAAAAAAAAAAAAAAAAAAAAAAAAAAATTACTGTGTTAATATTGCGGTAGTTAGTCAAAATAGAGTAAAAGGTTAAAGGCACCTGGTGACCATTAATAAAAAAAAATTTAGGGTAAATTACACAAATTACCCTCGAGGTTTTTATATCGTGCATGTAGATAGAAGTTATAGTAATATTACAAAAAGGTTTAGATTGACGGTTTGACGACAAGGAATCAATATACACTTATCTTTTAAACCTTAAAATTAAAGTATTTATTTTTAATTAAAAAAAATAAAAAATATTGTGTATTGACAAGTTTAATTTTTGCCCCTCAAAAAATGGTACACCCCTATCACTTCCCTATACAAATAGAAAGCAAAATGGGTTTGATTTGCCTTTAAAATAAAAAAATTGCAAAATGGGTTTGGGTTTATATAAATATATAGGCAAAAAAGCATAAAACCCCCCTCAACAATCAAAAATCAGTATTTTATCTCCTTGGATTACAAAATCGAGCAAATTAGTACCACAACTATCAGAAATGTGCAGTTTGACCCCCTGACAATCCTTTTCGGCTCATTTTCAGTCACTGTCATTTTACATTTACAAAAATGGCCATTATAATTAACATTTTAAAAAAGGCAAATAAAATTAAAATTGAGAAATACCATCAATACCCTCATGCTATATACGTGTTATATTGGTAAAGTTTATAAGTGTAAAATCTAGAGCGTGACTAAGGAAAGGTCTTCAGTGCTTAGAGAAGAGAAGATGAAAGGTCGTGATGCTAGGGTTTGTGAGTGTGATCGAGATTTAGGGGCTCTGAACTACGATTTCTAGGGTTTTCTTGGGTGAATTTTTGGACAGTATTGAGGAAGAAGAAATTGGGTTTGTGATAATTGATTGTGGAAGAAGGATATTGCTAGTACAACCTGTTATAAAGAATCAATTTTAAATTAAAATTAAAATATTAAAATCAATTTTGTGATTTCACAACATAATTAACTAACAGATTCATCACCAAAAGGGGGTAAAGTATCACTTTTGCTAGTACTCTAGTTGTCTGATAATGATTATTTGGAATAAATACAGGGGTTTTTTATGATTTTTCCTCAAAAATTAATACTAAATCATTATAAAATAATGTAAAATTTTTGTGTAAATATTATTGATCCGCATTGAGTGTACCCCAATTTTTAAACTAGGAAAAGCTCCGTACACATTATCCAAAATGACATAGAGATGGCTAATGGCATGCTTCACAACTGCAGTGGCCTTGGCACTATTTGTATGTATATGTATATGTATATGTATATGAGGAGTCTATCCTAGTTCCAGCACTAACTCAGGTAGGCTAAGCATCCTGTTCAGAACCCAGTACCAGATACAGGACAAGGGCACATATACGTGTATATGTATATATACATTAGAGGTATTTGGCAGTGTTAATAGATATATGTACAATCCATATATATAGATATACATATATATATGTATATGTATATATAAACATAGACAGTTAAGTAAAACTATGCAGAGTAATTTTTTTTTTTTTTTTCTGAAAATTCAAGTAAATTTATAAATATTAACAAGGGTACATACACAGCCCACATCATAGTTAGCCAAAAGCTAAACAACCAATAAGGGCCCAGCCCAAGGCCAACAAGGCTTAGAAACCAAAAATAGTTACATAGCTGTTACTAAAGTTCTCACATCCGGTCATCATGGAGAATGACTCTAACTTCCGTCGACGGCTGTCAACGTATAGTAGCGTCCGGTGGCTTTCGCGGTGGCCGGATTGTGGAATCGGGTAACTCCCATTCATTTGCAACTCTGCGGGGGATGGTTGCATGTCATGAGAAATTTGGAAAAGAGGAGTTTGGATCTTACTGATTGCAGTGTCAAATGGAGAATTGAATTGGTAGATAAGGACTTCTTCTTGAAGATACGACGATTACGCTCAGTCCAAATGTTGTATACCAGAGAAGCGAGACACATTTTTGAAATGGATTTACTGAAAACACCACGGTTCCATTCCAGTGGTGAGATGCCGAAGTTATCAAATCATTCCAGGTGGAGGGTTGGATATAGAACCCACAACACATTTGAATAAATGCCCATAAGGGTTTGGAAAAAGAAACACTTGAAAAACAAGTGATCGTGGGATTCTGGTTCCTTTGAGCAGAGAGGGCATAATGTGGCATTGATATGTGCAATGCATCTTGTGATAACTTGGATTTTTATATTTTAATTTATATTATTATTTTAAAAAAGAAGAAGTAGTAGTTATTTTTATATCTATGTTTTGTCTGAAAAGAAAAATAAAAATGGATGTGATATATATTTTTGGTGAGGTCTACTAAAGAGATATTTAATGAATTGAATTAATATTTTTGTTACATATTATATATATATATATATATTTATATATGTATATATATATATAATGTTGGTGGCGAACCAGCTGGCAGCCGAGAGAGTGAAGAAAAATGGGATAAAGAAATGGTAATGAGTTCTTGTGGGGTCCGCCACTTGATGTCATTTATGTAGTGAATTTGGTTTATTCACGTGGGCTGATCTGATGAAAGAAAAGAAAGGTTGTAATAATTTTGGTGTGGGTCCCATTGGAGATGGATAATGGGTTTGAAATTGGTTTGTTACATTGTGTGTGTGTGTGTGTATATATATATATTATGCTGATGGGTGAAGTGGAGAAAGTGAAAAAGAAATGGGACAGCAGGTTGGCCGAAGAGATAAGAGAGTGAAATTGTAATAATGTGGTGGGACCCACTTGAATTTTTGGGCAAAATGTTCTTTGAATTTGGTTCCTTCACGTGATTGTCTGATGGACTGGAATTGAGATGAAAAGAATTGTAAAGATAATGTGAGCAGTGAGCTCCGTGTGGGTTTGTTGGTGGAGTGATGGAGCCTACTCCATTGTTGTTTGGAGCCTGCTTTACAGGTTTAAGAACAAGCTCTCGTATTTTCGTAAAATCTGGACTTTTGGGCACTATTTGGGACTAGTTTGGTATGAAATGTTTTTGGAAATGTACTGAGGGTTTTGAATGTAATTTTGTGAATTATTAAAACCTCATATGGCATAAATTATACCTATAGGCTAACAGATGGAACAATAGAAAAGTATTAAACTTTGCATGCTGTTAACGGATGGAAGGAGTTTAATTACTTAATTTAATTTTAGCAATTTATCGGAATATAGTAGGATTATAATTCTTATTTCGGATGTGCAATAGGGTCATTTGTGTATTAGATTTGATCCATGCATATTCTGGATTTTAATTGTTGAAATACTAAATTCTTTTCTGCAATTACATGGATTAAGGTTTGGATTTGAATTGCTGAAATGTTAAACACCATTCTGCAATTACTTGGATTATGGTTTTGGACTTAAATTGCTATACTATTATTTATGGTCTGTAATTTACATGGTTCTGGACTTTAATTGCTGAATTATTATATTAAATTCCGCTAATTATCTGGATGTTGTGGATTGTATGCACCAGTATAGAACGATGGCATACTAGGGATGGTTTAAATCAAAATGCTAAGACCTACCCTATTGGATTAAAGGAAAGGATTGTAAAATATTGAATCCTAATTTTATTTAAGTCAGATCGACAGGGTAAGTTGAGTGACTATCTGGATTAATTGTTGGTTATGGTTAAGTCAGATCGACTGAGTAAGTTGAATGACTACCTGAATTTATTGTTATTCGCGGTTAAGTCAAATCGACTGAGTAAGTTGAGTGGCTAACCGGATTATAAGTCTTATGTCAGATCAACAAAGAATTGAATGACATATTCTGGTTTTGGATGGACTTTAAATATATGATTATGGTACTACGATATGAGCTTGAGTCTCAAAATCGATGGTTAAGGCGCGTATATGCAGTGGATGCATAGCTGGCTATGATAGGTTGAGGTATACCCTGTTAGGCTTAGGTACTCATGCCCACTTAGGTGCGTTTTTGCATGTTGCCTTCTATTCAGGTTGAAACCCCCTATATAGTCCAGTGAATGTCCCTTAGTGTGGATATATATATGTATAGACTAAATAGCTATTGTTGAGATATCTATGGTGTATCTGCGTATCGGGTCACTGTATGGATTGCAGTTAGAATAGAACTTGTTCGTGGGCTTGACCCACTCTTATATTTTTCAGGTATCGGA